GACATTTTGTGTTTTCTGAGCATTGACTGTCAGTCTCTCTTGTTTGCACCACTTGTCAACTTTGTTTAGGGCTGTCTGCATTCTTTCTGATATCATACCAGCAAACTTGCCATTCATTTATGTATGGTTGGCATTTACAAAAAATAAAAAAGGAAATACATTCAATTCATATCTGAATTCTTAAAGCACTTCCCAATCTAAATATAATGACTTAAAACTTTGCATGCTTCCTATTATTGTTCACCCTTTACTTAAATATTATCAAAGTGTACAAAAAAGCAAAAATGGAGTGCCAATAGTGCTATTCTGCATTATTTGCCTCTTAGCCTTAAATTGAAGATTTGAGGAAATCTCTCCTATCCTGAAACATGAAAGTTCTCTCCATAAAACCGAAATTTGTCATTTATTTCGAGAGCAACAACTAAAAAATGGTCTGCTGTATTTATAACGGATTCTGTAGAATTCCAAAATGGCTCGTCATTAGAAATTGACATACTAGAACGGTTTATTTATAAACTAATAAAATTATTTACGTTCACTATATTTCTTATTTTATACGATCAAATTTCTTTTTTAAGGACTGAAACGAACTGGGTAATTAAATCTTTTTAGAATTTCCAGAATAAAACATCAAACGTTTAGAAATGCAAGAGTGTATCACTAAAAGTCACAGTGTTTTTATATCCTCCAGATGAGGGAGTTACAAAAAATTGAAACACTATAAATACGAATAAAAACGGCATTAGCGATGGCTCTGAATTGACGATCGATGACATTTTCCATATAATTTTACATATAAAATGACAGCGATCTTCATTTCAAAGCCATCGCTGACGCTGTTTTTATTCGATCATACGGTATATAGATTTAATAATATGATGCAAAGATATAAACTAATCTTTATATCTTTAATATATTTTTTATATTTTGTAATGAAAAAAGTAAAACAAAAAAATAACTATTACCTACAACAAGCTGGTAGATCTTCATTTCTAAAATATAAATCTAATTTTGTTTTCTAACAAAATTAATTAATACTATTCAAAGAATTTCAGATAAGACGGTTTTTTCCTAAACATTAACTCTGAAAAGGATTTATCAGAAAAGTAAATAACGAATGAAAGATATTCATGTTTTTAATTAATTACTATCAATCTTATATTTTTTGTAAATTCTTCTTTCATGAAAATTAAAATTATTTTTAAATACCTACAAAAACAAATAAAAATTGTCAAAGTTCATAACATTAGATCCCTTAGGAACTTGAATGTAACTTTTATATTGGAGTAGGTGAGTTATTAGTAACTGAGTTTGGGAAAACTTATTAATTTATAATGAATTTTTAACACAAAAAGAGGTTATTGGACATTTTGAATGTTTATCAAACCATTCTAAATAATTATTTATTTCGTTGTCACATTTTTGTGAAATTTAATTGTTGATTTGGCATTAAGTGACCTTAACCCATTTAATCAAATCCAAGTTGTTAATCAGTGTAAGACTTACGCAAGACCAAGATCCAGCTTGCAATATGCATTATTAATTATAATATCCTAATGTAATCCTATATTAATATCCCAGAATATCACAAAACGTCTCTCAACTTCTATACAATCACGTATACCTAAATATTTCTGTGACAGTATGAGGAGGGATAATAATTGTTTGGAAAGACTCATTATACGAGGTTCTAGGAAAAATACCAAGAGACCACTCGCTCACCCGATGGATAGACTAGCTATTAAAGCTCACACACAAACCACTGCACACGCTGGTACATGAACCACAAGACAGAGGATCTATGAAGACATCCTAAATATATCACTTTAACCTGACCACTATATTCCTCTTGTGAGAATACATACCAAGAAAGAGAATTCCATCTTAAATTACAATTTTCTACGCTTCTTTTTAAACTTCTCTGGACTGTGTAAAAGTTGCGGCTCATTTCTTATCATTTCTATTTCTTAGATGACCATCCTATCACCATTTAAGAAAATTAATTCTGTAGATCTTAGTCTATGCCCATACTTCATAGACGTCATGACAGATACTATTAACTGACTGAAACATTTCTTCTTTAGTTCCATTCTAGGCTTGGAAATGATGGAATTTTGTTCGAATACTTTCAGTGTCAATTTTACTTTTCTGTTAATTTTAGGAATTAGCAGATTAGAGGTGTGTATCAATTGAATCAAGTTTATTAATAGGTATCCATTATTCAATTTTTCCTTCATTATTTTTTAAAATCCCGTACAATACAAATAAAATGTAAAAAAACATACCCTATCGTTACCAGACCAGAGATTACCTCCCACAATGTCCCAGCAACATACCAATAAATAAGGATATCTTTACAGGAACTATCACCTTACTACGAATTCTTTAATCAAGCTATTTCAACATCAGAAACCTACTAATTAAAAAACGAGAAACAAAACTTTCTACCTGTTTCGGTACCTCCCAGGTACCAAACAGAAGCTGGAAAAATGAAAATCGACGTACCTCTTATCTAATTTATACGTCTAGATCGCCGAGACAAGGTAATATACGGCCCCAACGCGACAGGGGTGCCATCAAAACCTTTACAGTTGTCAAGATTCAAAACCACAAAATCAAAGATCAGTCGGAGAGTTATACCGTTTCGATTATCGCTAAAGTTAATCTTTGGATGTATTAATTAAATTAATCAAGATTACAAGAAAGTCGACCGAAGATTTTAAAAGTAACCTTAAAGAGAATCATATTTATGTATATGTTATTTATAAATTATTTTTTTCACATAAATACAATACATAAAAATATAAAATAAATATACCTATGTACACTGCGGAAGAGAGATAACATCACATATCGGGATTTTCAGTCACAGAAAAGCTCATGACATAAACCTCCTTGGGTAACCATCTTGTGATGCGTGTCAAATACTCGTCAGCTAGTAGTGGCAGTATAGTATAGTATAGTATGCCTGTTTTTTTAGTTACCTAGCGCAATGAATTGATTACTCCAGATCTCAATGTGTTCAGTCTCGACTAAAGACAAATTTCTCGAGAATTCTCGATCAGAAAATCTTATATAAGGTAGGAAAACGACAAGTTTGGACCTACTAAGTATTTATGTAAAGTTTTTTTTAGTGATTTAATCTTAGTTTTTAAGTAGATGCTTTACTTTTTTGGAGTCAATAATACCAGAAAATTACACAAGTTAAACTCTAGAGTAAAAACATAATTAAACGCTCAGTTTAAAGCAAAACGGCTTTAAATTTCCGAATAATTAAACGTAATTCATTCCGAATGGACCGTTTAAGACGGCGAGCGCGAGAAAAATTCGTCACCTGAAAGTGACATTGCCATTGTCAAGGCCATTTTCATTTTGGAACCGCTCCAACGACTTTTTCCGAAACAATTCCCAATGCATCGGCATTCCTCAACTGGCGTAGTTCATTTAGCTTTTTTTATCGGCCTTTGGTGGTACTTCTCGATTACGAATGCTTCAGTCTGTGTTTTAAGCACGTTTGTTCGTCAAGATAAAATAAGAAATTGGAGTATTTATATGATAGAAATATTCCAAAAATGCGTTAATAGTATCAGGAGTCACTACGAGACGTTTATATTGTGTGTATTCGGAGTTTCGTTCTTGACATTCCTTGATATTTATAGATTTAACGATGAAAACATTTTATTTTCGAATCCTTTTTTTGTATATGAAGACACAAGTGTGTCTTAATGAATTGATGGTATTTTCGTTTTCTAAACAATAATTTTAAAATCTAATACCGGGTCCAGACCAAGGCGACAAAAAATAAACACGATTTTGAGACAGAAACAAGACAAACTTGCGACAAAAAACGGGGAATTCTGACAAGACAAACTTGAGACAAATTTTCCACACCGCAAAGACAAAGGTACAACAAAGTCAAAAGTTTAGTTGTTGCGAATGAGTTTAATTAACCATGTGTGATTTCACTGGTCTCCTACTGTTGGCAGCACACGCCATCCACACTGCGCCGACAACTTGTCGTAAAATATACGAACAAAACATAGACTCTTTGATCTTTACCGACTCGAGACGGGACATTGAAAAGTCTCCGAATTTTGAAACAAAACAAAAATGTCACAGTAATGTATTGGATTTGTCACAATTTTGTCGTAAAACATGAATGTTTCTGTCTTGTCGTTGTTTTGTCTGCTTGGTCTGGACCCGGCATAAAGCAGGATTAAAAAAGACATTATTTTATCTAATTCAAAAAAGCAGCATTTTCAAATATTTCCTCTGATACATTATTACCCACAATATAACATTTCTGTTTTCAAGCTTTTTTGTTTAGGCAATAACCAGATGTTATATATTATATTGCTGATTAAGTTTGGTTGGCTTTTGCTTTTTTATTGAAAGTAACAGATTTTCCTTAATCAACGACAGAGTTTCTGCTAACATTTTGAAGCAGAATAACCAGAATGAGAGCCTAAGGTTTCATCCTTGCTCTGGGATCTTACTCTATTTGCATGCGAAACCTGAACGTTTAAAATGGACATTATAAAGAAATTGCAGGTCACACAACGCTCAATGGAACCAAATATCACAAAAGAGTTTATTTCTTCTTCTGTGGAAAAATGCTGAGAATAACCAAGAAAGACCGTAAAAGGATAAAGTGGATACGACAAAAAAAAATGTCATCCAGAGAATCAAATCCCTCAAGTGACAATGGCTAGAATACCTGGAAAGCAGGATGGACAACAAAAATTACAGCATGGTGTGATTATTGATTTTGTATGTGAAGCCGAATACTTAGGGGTGATATTAAAATTATTTTTTAATCTTCTATTTTTGTAAATATTTGTGGCTCCTTTAACCCAGTTGTGGCGAGGAGATGACATTTAATTTAAAATTTTATGTATTTTATATATTTTGTTGTAACCAAATTATAAAATGTGTAACTAGCTAGAATGCTAAATAAAGATATATTTCTCAATATTATAAAGATAAAAACAGTATCTCACCTTCGGTACTACTCCTCCCGTGCAGACTACAGTCCTCTTCCTTGCCCGGCCGCAAGGGGCTCGTGGGCGACGCTCCCCCCGCCGAGCTGACCGAGCCGCCGCTGGAGTGCGTCGAGCCCTGCACGTACAAAGCGTGGTGGGGGTGGTGGTGGTGATGGTGGTGGGCGGCGAGGGGGTGCGCGTCCCCCAGCACGGCCGATCCTGCGGCGGCCGTCGCGACGGCGCTGGAAGCGGAACCGGCCGCGGCCGCCTGCGACGACGCGGAGGAGGAGAGGGTGTGCGCGTCCTGCAGCCGTTGCACGTTGAACTGGAAAATAAAAGGGGGTGCAAATGTTAGCGGATTTATGTACGTTTGAAGTGAAATTAAAAAAAAGAAAAGTATTAGTTTTAATTTGAATTTAATTAGATATGTGAGAGCACTAAAAATATTAGTATTTGAATTTGTTAGATATTAGATTACTTTATTAATAATCTGTCAATTTATGAAATAATTATTATGTTTATGTAAAGAGTGACAAGGCTCGTGGTTATCGTACCGCAGGTGCCCTCTCACTGCCTGAGAGTTGTGCTAGACGAACAGATATAGAACTTGTAAAATATCTGTAAACAGTACTCTGCTCGAACAAATTAAAATAATTTAAAATCAAAAACTAATAATACAGCCAGACAATTTCTGTAAGTGAAATGTCAGACAGCAAAACTGTACTCACACAAATTCACAAATCACAAACTAACAATGGGCGCCTCATTACGGGTTACTCCTACTTCTGATGTTAGATATTAGATTACATTATTAATAATCTGTCAATTTATGAAATAATTATTATGTTTATGTAAAGAGTGTCAAGGCTCGTGGTTATCGTACCGCAGATGCCCTCTCACTGCCTGAGAGTTGCGCTAGACGACCACTTGGATTTGTTTATACACATAACATACTTAAGAGATATGGCCCTATTCATTGGCGTGCCGCTAACAGAATTAAAATATTTAAATAATATACCGTTTTCCGGATTTGAACCGTATCCTTTTTAGTTATGGTTAAGGATGGGAGTTTTTTTCGTTCGGATTCGTCGTTTCGGATATATCGATAACTATCGATATCTCTGTCACAATCATTAAAATACAGACCACGCAGATGAAGTGCCCTGTATGGCATATTGATACTATATCGATATTATTGATATATCGACAACTCTCGATACATCAGTAACTATCAATATATCGATAACTATCGATATATTGATAACTACTTGCCAGGTATCATAAAAGGTACTTGCCAGTATCATAAAATTAAAAAAAAATTGTGTGTGCACTATGTGCGCATATTTGAAGTGAATCTTCTTACTAACAGCTATTAAATTGCAGGATTTGAAGGATATATATTTTTTTATGAATGCTTTTTATAAACTTAAAAAACTTTAAACAAAAAAACGATAATTCTATTACCCGGCCGGATAGCTGTGGCCATTAAACCAAAATACTACTACATCTATATCTCTAACTACTATTAACTGCTACTAACCAACAATTTCATTTGTAGACTGTGGCCTGTTTTTGTTTAAAAGTTCATTATTCATGTTGGGGATTTATTTTTAAATTAATGTTAAACGTTAGCCAACCAGTATTTCTTTTGCATAATCAAAATTCATTACTCTAAATTGTATATAACTAAATTGTCACTCTAAATCGTTGTCTTTTTTAGACAGATGTCACTTGTCTTGTCATTATTCAATTGATTATCCGAATTCTCAGAATGTTGTTAACAAAAGTTTTATCTTAAAATAAAATTTTAATCAATCACAATTGTTTATCTTCATCATTTACTGGATTAATAATACAGAAATTACAGCTCAGTTACAAACAATTCATTATTTATAGTGATTTACAGTAATTTTATTAAATTATACGAATATTCTCGTTGATTAATGGTCTGAAATAAATATGACAGTGTCCTCCAATAAAAATGCGAGTTACTAACTCTAAATTCTAATTCTGAGCTGGCAAATAAGCTAGATACTTTACCTAGACCGTTATTCAGAAGCTACAAACCTATCGATGAAAATTTGCTTCCTAGCATTCTTCCTAAAATCAAGGTTGGTACAGTAATTTATTATAGTGATTTTCTTAGCCGCGTATGCTATAGGTCGCTACCCAGTGTTGCCACAAGCTTATTTTTTATCGGGGTAGATTATCACGAGGTCACGAGTCGTTTTGAGTATGATTAGGGATGGGATTTTTTCTCGATATATCGATAACTATCAATAGTTACCGATATATCGAATAACTATAAATAACTTCAAAATTATTGATATACCGATTTGCTCATCAAAACTGCGTGGTCTGGATTTTAACGCGCAAGACGTGATATAGACAACTTAATGAAAAATTAAATTTATTAAAAAGAGATAAAAGTTGGGTTCATACATTTCTTCTATGCGGTATTGCCGGATTTTGCAACAAAATTTCAACAAAACAAGACAATTTCAACTGCACAAGTAGGCGTTTACGAAAAATGTTGCATCTAGTGTTGGTACTTTATTTTTCACAATTAGTTACTCATTTTACTCTACAGCTGTAATATATTATATTTAGTTAGTTACAGTTATTATATTCAGTAGTATACATGAAAGTTTTTAAAATACTTTATATTTTTATACACATTTTCCTATAACGTAAAAACCGGCAACACTGTATGCCGCTTTTTATTTTGTCTCTCTGTCTGCCAACCGGTCATTTATATTTATCTCTGTCGCATGCATTAAAATCCAGACCGTGGAGATGAAGTGTCCAGCATATTGATACATCAATAACTATCGATATATCTATAACTATTGTCACCTATCAGTGTATTTATAGCATTTCCATTAGTATCGGTTATCGGTTATTGACTAGTTGTTAAGATTGAAATATAAACATTTTCATCAAATATTGTTCCTTTCTTTATACTATGTTCTTCTCAAACTAGATTCTAATAAAAATCTAGCAAAAATGTGAAAGATTTGCAAGAGTATTGCAAGAAAATCAAGACATAAGACCATGACTGAACACTACAAGACCAAGACCATGATAACCGGGGTCCTGGTCTCGCATTTGGTCATCACTAAAATTTTCCTATTGCTTGGTGTTTGGTGTTTTTCTCCAAATCCAATTGTTGTTGACCTCTTCTATACTAATTGTTATTTCTCAACTTGTGTTAATAACAATACCAGTATCTATATTGGTAGATTACAGTTGGAGCCGTAATTCCTGAGTAGGAACCTTTGGTGTTACAACAGCAAAATAAAACACTGAACGTGCGTTTCGCTAACCATGTTTTCATCCATGCATCATCATCTGCTGATGATGCTAACATGGTTAGCAAAACGCGCGTCCAATGTTTGAAAGTAAAGCGTTTTAATGTATTGTGCTGAATTAATGTTTTATTTTGCTATTGATAGACTTAAAGGAACCTAAAGAAATGTATAAATTGACACACTGAATAATTCTTACTTAATGGAATCAATTCTGGGTGGAAACAAAGGCTGACAAGCGCGGTATCGGGTATAAATAAAAGGCGTAAGAAGCAAATGCACCGGTACGCACTTTACAAATTGAAAGCGGACGGCCATAAAATATGGCGCTTTGAATAAAAGGACGCCGCGCGATAAAACGGTACGTCCCAAAGATTAATATTAATTTATTTTATCTCGGGGCTGCGTCCGTTCGTGTAGTACCACTTTAATGGACCGATTTTTATTTCGCCGGAACGAGATATTGGTACTGGTCCTTATTTGTTACATGCCATCGAATTGATTGTTATTTTTTCTTTTATTTCTGTAGTTCTCTCGATATTATAGAGGAATGCCAAACGGGGTAATTAATTTCTTTTTTACTAAATCAGAAATAAAAAAAGACCTATTTATGTTCAAGGGAATATAGTACTTAGTACCAGTGACTGATACACTGGGAGAGCTTCGGGGCTCAATCCCCCCACCCCTTAGGTTCAGTCATGTAATACGATATTATCAATTAATTTATTATGTCAGAAATGACTCCGGAATATGTATTTTGAGTTAAGGATGTGTGTCTAGCCCCCACTCCCTCTTTCCGAATCCTGGATCCACCCCAGCTTAGTACCATCCAGAATACATTCTTTCTAAAGTAAAAAACATATTAGTTTCTTTTTTTTTGTATCCGATATTTTTTCTCACTTATTGTGATTTTATTTTAAAATGTAAGAAGCCAAATAGCCTAGCCAAAAAGTTCTTAACTAAAAACCATAAACATTGTGTGGTGAAATATTTATTTTTTTGTTGATCGGTAATGGTTTGAGGATTATTAGAGAAGTTTTCACCACACAATAGTGATGTGTCGGTATTTCAGTAACGCAATTTTGGAGCGGTATTTTTTTGTAACGTCGTGTCACGCCCTACAACGAAACTGGAACCTGTTACTGAAGAACTACGATCATAATAACGATGAAATTGTAAATTATAATTTGCAAATAAATTATTTATTACTGCATTTACAGCTGTCGCGATTTCGTCGGTCGCGAACAGTAGTAGCGACGCGCAACCTCAATCGCGACGTGTTTCGTTTCAGCCGTCGCGCTCCTAGAGTCGCGTGTTCGTCTGTCGCGAAACGATGTAACTGGTAACGACCTATACCGCGACGTGTTTCGCTCCAGTGCCGGTGGTCGCGCGACTACTACTGGAGCGCTGCTAGGGTCGAGTTTTCGTCTGTCGCGTTTTAGTCGGTTGCTGTTGGCGTTGATGCTCCCGTTACAGCCATTACGTTACTTTCGAGATCGCGAATTTCGGTAGGTCTAGGTACTGAAAATGTTTGGTTCATAATAAATACATGTTAGTACGTTAGATAGTTACAAATAAACACTTTTACAAAAATAAGAAAAAACAAGAAGAAATATGACCGAAAAAAAGGAAATTTGTAAAGCGAATTGATTCCATTTCGTGGCGACGCGAACGCGACGCCACGCTCGGCGCTCTCAGCCCGAACGTACCTTACTAGCGTTAGAAGCGCGAGAATAGAGAATTTAGAATACTCCTTTTTGCGCAAGCGCTTTTTGTTAGCATTTTTATTTTTAACTCTATGGTTAGCAGACACTCATTGTTTAAACGCGAATCAATGAAATACCAACGAGGTATATTAGTTTTCACATAAATATTTTAATGTTATCTGTAGAAAAATTTAATAATGTACCTCATAAAATGGCCTGGGTATTACTTATTCTGTTTCACAGCAGCTTTGAAAGAAAAATGTAAGATAATTGTTTAATTAAAATAGACAATGTTGGCATTAACTACACGA